AAAGAAAACGGTAAAACATGTTAGAATAATTCTTTCATTTTGCATATTTTTGTGGTTTACGGCATTTATATTTAAAAATGATTTCATGTAAATGACCGCTTTTGAATGTCTGCAAAAATTGAATTATAGAACACCAATTTTAAAGCATTTTTCTTATGTCAACAATAATAAAATAAAGTCATTGAGAGATTTGCGTTTTGCTGGTGTAAAGCTTATCTCTCTATTGTAGGCAAGCACGTGTTAAATCACAGCCAGTTTTTGGCCACGAATTTCAAATTCATTAGAAGACGTTTGTGCCGAATTTCCGTTTCCTGCCTTCGTTCTTGCGACTGCTATAATTTCATCAAGCGAATGAAATTTACCTTTTGTGGTAGAAACAAGGGTATGTCATCGCCATCTCGAAAACGAAAGCAGGTAAAAAGCATGTGCTTGTAAATAATTAGAAGTCGTTTCATATAAATAGAAATATCTCAACAATACTGAAACATTACATGTCTTATACACATTTCTGTAAAAATCAAAACATAAAAAGAACGAAAATTACGTAATCGATAGTTCTAGTGTTAAGTCTTTTACACTAATTACCATTTTCAGACAAAGCGAAAAAAAATGTATCTATTCATTTTGGAACGGTAGTTTATTGCAAATGTTTTCGGTCAAATTAAGTTGGGGATAAAATTGAAACCCAATTAATCATCGATTTAGAAAAAGAAAAATAAATAAAAGAAAACAGGGGTTTTATCTATTACTAATAGACAGAAAGGTTTCACGGCGTTCAGAGGCTTATTTGACCGTGCAACAAAGTAGAACAATTCGAATAAACAGCTCTGAGTAATTCAAACAATAGGACGCAGTTTGTTCTTTTTGGTGGAAATCCTTCCATATTATCTAAAGCTAAAATCAAATGATTACAAATATGGCAAATTACAAATGATTATTAATATAGCGACCAAATTAAAAGTAAAAAACAAACATTTCAGTCCTTTTTCTCAACAAACTGCCCAATTATAAATAATATTTCACCAGTCATCCTTAGGGACACGATAAGTTTCATTATCGCTTCGTATGGTTTTACCAACAGCTCCATAACAAGGTATAATATAATAAGAACCATTTGCAGGTCGTACAATTTGTAAGGCAACCAAAATAATATCAACTAATTGGACAATAAAGAAACCGCCCAATGTGCTGGCCTTTAATAAACCTGTGCCATAATAGCTCAAACGGACGAAACGATCCAAACCAAACGTGCCACTAAATAAGGAAAGTAGCATTATTCGTTAGAAATATACTATAAATAACGTACGGCGATTTACATGGCATATCATTTGTAACAGTGTTGTTACTGGTAGTCTGACATTCAATATTTCAGCTGTGATGCACCAAACTAAAATGATATTGACAATACTTAGCATTTTTTTGAGACATAAACAGTATAGTTCACCACCTTTAGCAATTCCAGATCTATCACATCCTACGTAGCTGAGTTTTCTGATCGGTTTGATTTTCACTAGGATACGGATATAAATATTGACCCGTTAATAAATTTGAACAGTCATAAGTCGCTTTGTGCAGTTATAAAAAATAATTCACTAAGTAAAACGTATTTAAACATAATGAAGAACAAAGCACCTTTAACAACTTCTTGTTAAAATTTAGAAATATTTTCGATCATCCGATTTTTGCACTATCTCTAGAAGGACATTCATAAATTTAAAAGCACCACCCGAACGTGATTAACTAATTGCATCTTCTTTGTTTTGTAGAGTATACATTAAGTAAAATTCAAATCATCTGCGTAATATCTATTGTAAACATTCTCCTGGCCGGAAAAATGACTACAAGTAGACATGATAAATATGTGGTTATAATAAATAAAATAAATTTGTTTCTTCCAAACTGGACATAATGTGAAGGTATATATTAAATTTTGTGGCATATTAATTATAAAAAAAAAGAAGTTTAGAAACGTAAAAGAATATATGAGACCATTAATCACGCGCGATGTACTGAAAAGCTGTGTCATCTACAAAAATGCGGCAGTAGACGAAAAGGAGGAAAATAAAATTGCTTGAAATTGCACTGAAAGGTCTCCTTGACAAAAACTTAAATATATTAAATTATAAAATGCACTTACAAGTCAATAATGAAGTTGAAGTTAAGGAAAAAAATCTAAAAAATCTTAACTTTATTTAGCTTAGTACAAATTGTCAACACAACGCGGAAGTTTATTCTTTTATAATATTATTATTTTTTTTTATATTTTGCTATTTTTTGGACAATTATTCACTTGAAACCACTTCTTTGAAAACTATGCTACTTTCAAAAATTTTCCCCTATTTTTTACAAATTTTTGTTTTATATATTTTCTTTTATTTAGCAATTTTTCTGATATAGCAAACTTCTTCGTGCACTTGTAAAATTTCGTTTAGAACCGTTAGCTGGCTTTTTCTTTTAGACCAAACTAAAAAAAAATCTCATGCGCGGAGAATGGAGAGAGCACAGAGTTGCTTTTAATAAATAAAAAAAATGGTCAGTAAAAAATCTTTATCATCTGTTATATGGAAAAAAGTGGCAAAGCGGACGTTCAAAACTCTATTAAATAAAAAAAAGGGGTGGAAAAAAATCGCCGGAGCTGGGTATATAATTTTGCATCACCTGTTGCGCTGTGTAAGATTTACTTTGATATGAAAATTGAAAAGACATAAAAACATTCAGGGACCAGAACAGCGCACCACCACGTATTTCAATGATAGAGATAAAACAGATGAAAACAGATATTTTAATCGGTAATAACCATTTTACAATATTTATTTACACCACTTCTTTGTAAATCAAATTAGCAACATTAATGCAACATTTTGTGGCTGTGATCGGCCACTACTGCACCTCTATATAGACTATAGTTGCGGTAAATCAGGATTATTTTCACGTATTGTTAAAGTTTCCATATTGATGGCTTGTAGTTCTTGTATATTTTGCGTTTCAAACCATTTGTCGTAAGCTGGAACGGCAGGTATACATTGCTTACATACTGTTCGATCTTGTTCCGCATAATGTAGTTCCATGGCTCGCATTAAATGCTGAAACTCTTTCTTAATACTACAATTGTCATTGGCAAATTTATAATCTAGCGAAGTAATTGATAAAAAATAATAAAAATTTATTTAACAAAGTTAAAATTTTTTATAGCACCTCATCTTTCTTCATTAGATCTCGACATTCTATGAAAAAATCCACCAATTATTCGTTCAGCCGCACTTAGGATGGGGGTAAGACCATGTTCATTAGCCAACAACCATGCTCCATGATCAAGAAATACACGACGTGCTTCTAAATGACCGCATTCTGCAGCGTAATGCGGTAGCTCCGCACAAGCTACGTTGTCCCAGTAAAGACTTTCTAACAAATTTCTTGGGCCACTGATGGCACGTCAAGATTATCTTTATCCTTTTGATGTTTGATAAGGAAATAATTACGCATAGATTGGCAAAAACCCGGTTACATTAATCACATCTTAGAAATAGTGAAATTTGGATATAATTTTATTAATAAATAATTAATTACTAACTTGCAAAAATTCAGAATTAAGTAAAACTCGCTTCTAGCGTAACCTATAATAAATACAAATATAAATATTTATGCAAATTTATTTATTTATTTATTTACCTTTAACATTAAATTTGACATGCATATGGCCTTTAAGAGCAGCAAAATTGGTTGCTTCTCCACTGCATATTTCACAATGCAATGACAATGATGACTAAGCTTTTACTGCAAAAAGAATTCGACTCTTCAGATGGTTTTTTGTCATTCGCTTCTTTTAAGGAGCCGATTTCAGCTTTTCACGGTCTTCCGGGGCCTTCTTTTACGCTTTTGCTTGCAAAAAATATCTTTTGGGTTATATGTGCATTATGCTTCAATTTAGATGAAGATCTTGTCACTCTTGTTTGGATTGATTCAGTAATCGCTTCCTCTTTTACTGGTTTAGTATCTTTTGCATTGTCATTAATTAATATATTTTTCATAAACGCTTCACCGTCAAATGTAAAAAAACATTCGTACCGCTAAGCGGTAGACGAATCAACTGTCTCTAGACATTTGTGTGCGATGTTCAAGATTCAGAAGGAGTTTCAACATAGCGCTAATTAGTGACCACAAAACGTAGAAGGTAGACGTGCTTAGTTTATATTGCATTCTCTTTCATTACCAGCCTTAAGGAATGTCTACCGCAGACATTGTATAGGCGTTGCAGAGACGGACAAACGGATATTCTTAAGTCGATTGACAAGTTGATACTGATTGAAAATACTATGTTATGAAATTTGTTGAGCTTTCTTTATTCTCAATGTTGCAACAAACGAGTATGCATACGTACTCACATTTTTTTACAATTGGGTATTGGTAAGTATGGTAATTTTGAAGTGTTTTTCCAAGAGAAATGCAGTCTTTTTACAACTTTCTTAGCATATTTTTAAAAGAAATTCGCTTTCACTTTTCCATTACTTTTCCATTTTTTTCAATTAAGAACCGTTAGCTGGTTTCCTTTTCTCCAAATTTTAAAAATACCATATGTTGAGGATAGAGTTGTTTTCAAAATATGGTAACACCACGTTAGGAAAGAAGAAGAAATTATTTATAGTTTTCGACTAAACGGACCGCAATTTTTTTATTAAACTTCCGCATTTTCCGTTAGAACTAAGACCGAATTTGTATGGCAACAACAAAGAAATCTTTATCAAACGCCAAACAGCTGTTGTTCATTAATTAAAGAACTATTAAGCATTTGTTTTCGAAAATTTTAAAGGAAAGAGTTGCAGATTAGAAGTAGGAAATAGTTTAATAAAGTCTTATGAATTATAACGCATAATGTGCTGCATTTTAACTAAGATATAATATAAACCAATAAAAATAATTTATTCAAACTATTAATTAAAGGAAATGGTTTTATTTAAAAAAAGGCACCAAATTTTTACCCTTAAATCTATATTGTTGTATGTAGAAATTATAGAGCTAACAAGTGTTATTGCGCTGCATAAATATGTATAGGCTTATCGGATTCTAACAATTTTGCAGTATTCTCACTGCCCAATATACCATTTAAAAGCAATTGGTCATATTTAGTGTACAACACTGTACAACTCATAGAATCCTCTAACCCATCTCGAGCATTTTGATTGGATGAATGCATCAAATTAATCATTTCAGCATAGAAATGGGGAAACATCGGTGGCTGATACATAATCATATGGCGAATACCCTTCGTTCGGGTGCGTTTAAAAAAATGTGAACGTTCCGAGTAAAGTAAAAAATGCGCGGCACTATGAAAAAACATATCTCGGGCCCGGGCAATTTTTTCCTTTTTCGTGTATTCACAAATTTGAACAAAACTAAGATTTTCTGTTTTAAAATAATTCCGCAATTGGACGTAGTCGAAATAATTTGGCACATAGATCATCGTATGAGCAAATATACTGCTTTTAAATTGAGGCAAAACCTTATGGATGAAATAGTGCAAACGCTGCTCGTGTACATTTTCTAAAGCGGTAACATCAATGCGTTGAAACACTTGAGCCAAAGGTACCAAAACATTGTGTATTTCACCATGCTGTACAGGGTTAGATATCCGCACGCTTCCTTCGTAATTGCAACATTTATTGTTAAAAACGCCTCGAAATTCTGGTAATTCATGGGAAGCGAACACCAACGTTTGACGATAAAATTTGGAAAAACCATTAAGACACCAAAGGCGAGCACGATTTATATCCGTCGTTCGTAAAGTTTTTGGTTGTAAGTGCATGTGTTCTAAAATATGCAAAAGATTTTCCCAATTCTGAGCCAAAATCAATTCTGCTTGATCAATAATGAGAACTTCGATGGAACTTAAAAAATCATGCTCTACATCGCTATTGCTGGTACCGCCCATTGTAACCCTTAGGCCAAGAGGGGAAGCTATTAAGATATCTGATGCATAGAAATCAGTGTAAAGCTTTAAAGTCTTTTTCGTTAAAGATAATCCTAAACGAAAATTGTCGTCCGTATTGCCAGTAAAAGTTTTCTCATAATCCTCCGGCTTAGGGTTTGTTTTAGGAAAGTACAAACTATTCCCCGTAAATTCTTGCAAAAATCGTTCATAATTCATAATTGTTTTTTGATTATTGTCTGAAAGAAAGAAGAAAATGGACGCCTATGGTTAACAAAAATAAATATTACTTTTCCCTACTCACCCGATGATGATGACGATGATGTCGAAACGTTCTTTTTGACAATATTTGCCATTAATGAAACTATGCGGTATACAGAATCACGAAATGGCACTACAATCAATACTTTAGGACGCGCTAGTCCTTGATCACGATATGCATCAGCCAATGCTAAGCCTTTATTACTGTTTTCTTCTTCTTCAATTTTTTTATTATTCAACATAACACAGGCTCGGGTCTTCAATATATGATTAAAAGCATGTAAAGTGTACACTAAACGAACTTCTTCTCCGTTCGCTAAAGTTCGATGAGGATAATAAAGATCTTTATACACGTTGACAATGGAAAATAATTCGCTTTGCAATTCGCTTAATGGGATGGGAGATTTATTAGCTAGGGAAAGCTGCACACCAACAGCCTCTAGATCAGTAGCTGTCTCCAGTGTTTTAGGTGGATTTTCATCGATGTGAATTAATTGGTCGTTGTCTTTATTTTTAGGTATAAGCACGTGCAAGCATTCTAACTGAGACCATCTAATGGTTTTTTTAAGTTTCTCTATAGATCCCATCATTAATTTTTCTACATATTCCGCATCCAATTCATGATTTAAGTGCTCTTTAAAACGGTTAGAAGGCGGTAACAATCTTTCCAAATGTGCGTGCTCTTTGCCCGAAATTTTACTCTGACTTAGTTTAGATTTTTGTTTGCTTAATGCACGATCTTGCGACTTCGAAGCTAACAAGGTTGGCAGCGCTTCTTTAAAAGATGGCCGTTTTTTAGCTAAAAGGATAACAAGTACATTTAAGGCGGTTTACTCAAGTTCACTTTCGTGTTATCTTACTTGCTACACTCAATTCGTTGACAAAACTTTGGAAATGATCTTCTTGCTCTTCCTGTTCAGCGATTTCCTCTGGAATCTTGCTTAAATCTTGGTACTTTAAGGTACTCTTTTCTAAGTCAATTTGTTTCTTTAGTACTTCAACTGCAGAACTACTCCGATGCTTGAATTTACTATTCAAATGTTTTTTACTAAACGTTTCCTTTGTAGCAGTTTTCGATTTGCTAGAATATCTCAATTTCTTCCCCATAGTTTTATTTCGTATTAGTGAAACAATTTTTTTTATGTTGATTTTCAATGGACTAAACCACTAATTATTTCAAGTATCTGTTTTATTTTTTTTTTTTTGTGTTGTTTAGTGAAGATGGACTAACTACTTATTTATTTTATAATCAAGTATTTTAGTCGGAATTTATAGTCGTTTTTTCAATGCAACAGCTGTTAACAAATACAGACCGACTCTTTGAATTACTCTCAGAGGTTTGGAATTTTGTTCGCGGTACAAACACATGTTCCAATTTTTTCTTTTACAGATATTATTTATTTCTCACAAGCTCTCGTTATATGCAATTTTATCTGAAGAGAAAAAGTGAAAATGAAGCAAATCTCTTTTTCTCTTCTTTCTCTCTTTTTCAGACATGACTAAAGGGGTAAAAGTAAATCTTACATGCTGCCAAATAATCAAAAAAATCCTCTCATCAGTTGTGTATCATATAAAGCCGTAAATAAATTGAAATGCACTTTATAGAGATGGTAAATTCATTAATATTTGTTTTTACTGATTATCGAACAATGAATGGATAAATGAAGCGCTGTATATATATTCCTAGGCCTGGAACAGAAATTAATTTATTAATTTTGTGAATGTTATGCATATTCACATACATAGTATATATGATTTTATACAAAAGTGAATAATACAAAATAAGTTTCATATGCTTTCGAACATTTTAATAGCTTGTATACTTATAATTTATTCTATTTGTGATCGGACGTGAATCGATGTATTCAACGTGGTATGGTCGTTTATTATATCTTAAAAATAGTATTTTCCCCTTTCATTTAATCATTTAAACACTTGTGCATTTCTTCACACGTAACATTACGTTGCTTTGAGCGTTTTACACGCATATTTTTAGGAGTGAGATTGTAAACGTTTTCAAACATAAAAATTGTAACAATGTCACACAATGTTCGATAGCTTTCACGTTAAATCTCTGAAAATGTATTAAGTTTGGAAAAGAAAAATCTTCTCCCAAAAGTAAAAAAGAAATTATGCAACTATTATATAATAATAGTAAAATATTTTAGTAAAGTTCTCTTACCGACTTAATTTATTTTGAATCCAGAATGCCCTCAATACTTTACAATATATTCTGTCGAACCACCATAAATTGCGGATCAACAACGTACTTTAACAAAGTATATGGAATTATTTTCTATAGTATCTGAAACTATTTCTCGTTTCCATTACAACTACCACGGCTTATTTTCTATATTATATAAAATTATTCCTCACTTCTTTTACAGTTCGACGCGGCTACCACGAATTATTAACTACATTAACATATATATATATATAAAATTGCAGGATTTTCATCAAGATGTACGTCTCCTTTTTGCTGAATTTGAACGTTTTCCAAAGGAAACCTTTTCGGTTTAGCGCCAGAGCTAACTCCAGTCTATCGTCATATTTCATATCGGTATAGAGCAAATTTTCCCAACACGGACTTTGGTAGCCTTTTCTATATGTCGCCAATTGAACTATATAATTTAGTTTCCGCTGCGACCCATACCCATAAAATGCGAAAATCTGAAATCTGAACCATCTACGATGGTTATCCGGGACTCAATTGCGGAGTTGTGCTGCTACATCTCGCTGCTATACGTCACTACGGACTTTATCACGACCAACTGCAAGAAACTGCGACACGGAAATTGACATCAAAGTATATGTTTAAAGATCATATGGGCGATCAAGACTTTTCCACTTTATTGGGCTATGAATTTTCGAATCCGATGTATCGTCTGGATTGCGTACGGAATCGTCAATTGTGTACATGGTGAAAAGATCATGGCTACAGTGATGTCTTTGATAAATATTTCACTTGCAACGGACGTATCAAAATGTAACGAGTAATGCTCGGGTACCCGAATAATAAATTCAATAAGTCCAAGGAATGCCAACAATGGCAGATTAAAGGACGTTAAACTTTATGCATCTCATATATTAGTTAACTAGTTAGTTATATAAAATTTTCATACCAAAATAACAAATTTCAACGAAAATTTGCTCCTTAACATTTTAGTTAGTGCCCTATATTCTCAGCTTCATAAGGATTTATTTCTGTTAATGATTGTGATATCCTTTCAAAAGCCATCATTATACACATATACATATACGTGTTTGAAAAATATTTCAAATTTATCTGCCCATATAATTAGGCTATTTAGAAATACATACGCACATAAATATATATGTACATATTTACAATTATGTGTAACAGAAAATTGTAAAATTGTATTATTATTATTATTTTAATTTTAGACTAATGAATTGAATTCTTAG